ACACATGGAAATAGTACTTCAATAACAAATTGTTTTCCATCCAGTGATTGTCTAAGAGATGCTTATATGTTATTTGTTAAAATTATTAAATTTGACTATCATTGCACAATTGCACATACATCATTTTACTGTACTGCTAGTTAAGAGTGGTGCAGTCCAACGTATTTTACATATTCGCAACTAAAAAAAAACCTAGTTGTTTAATAACTCTTATATAAAATTACATAAAATGGATTCGATACTGTATTCTTAAAATGCGAGAAACATTAATCGATGTTTTATCAAAAATAATTTAAATTTTTTAGCTTCTAGCTACAGTATGTTTTCTGTGTAGCTACTAACTTTTACTAAATGCTACTAACCATTAGATTAACTTCTTACCTCGTTAGCAAAGTCATAACAAAAACCTCGATAAGAAGATTTCTTAATATTCAGGCCTCCTGTCACTCTTGATGAGTGCCAATCTAGAGCCAGTGAACGGGGACACCCACCATATCCGTCCTCTTCTTCATCTTCCGGTTAGATTATAGTCAAAGATTCGACTGTTAATAGTGAATTTAACCATGGATAAAACTTACTTCCTTGTGTTGGTTAGTCTATCATTTAACGTTCTAACCGAATTACCATGCAACTAACTAATCTAATGACTTTTTAGCAAATTTTGTAGTTTCTTACCCAATTAATGTTTATCATTTAAGCTTTGAATACGGCATTGAAAAGATATACGTAGCAAGCTTAATCCATTCGTTAAATCTCAAACTCATTTAGTCAAATAACTCAATATTTTATTGTTTGGACCATCCAGTTTCCGATCATTGATGATAGCTATGGATTAAATACTTGGTTCTTTGGGTTCACCCTCATTTTCAGTCAAATATCTTCAGGCGCCTTGTTAAAATGTTTTCCATTCCATACTAATCTTGGTGTTATACTCGAACTCTGCTTTGTCATGGTGCAGTTATAGATATTTTGGAATTTTTTTAACTCAAAAACATAACATTTTGTGTCTGATAAGACATTCGCTTCCTCCCAGCCACCCATAGCAACACAACAACGTGAAGTCTTTATCCTTCTGAGCAAACAATCCCAGGGGGCGACAGAAGCGAAAGTTGCCAGTAATGAGTTCATAATTAAGCGATAACCTGCTAATGATATCGGTGGATCCTGGGAACCTTATCAGGCTGTCGAATTGGCGGTTTCACTTGGCGGGAAGAGTCGAACCCGCGGCGTGGTGGGTTTGTGTTGATGTCACTGCAATTTTCGACTCTTGCTGCTTCGTTCCCTTTCCCACCCTGCAACTGTCTGACCCGACTGAACTCTTGCACCTGAAAGCTTCTTGGAGAAATCACTTTCGGCATCTATAAATCGATTTGCGCAGCTTCTGCTCATCGCTGGAGGGAGTTGTCTCTTCGCCTTTGCCATACGTGTTCGCGATTTTTAAATGTTAATAAAAAAATTAAATACCATACACTGCAAGCTTACTTTTTATTACGTGCATACGAACAGACAATCATTGGTAAAATAACAATTATTAATTTGTCTTCGGGCTCTCAAAACCGTTCCTGTGAACAGAGAATAGTACCTAATGATTTTGAAATATATAACTATCTGGGAGACAATTGTTCTTATAAATAAACTAAGCTGAAATAAGTACAGTAGGACCATTGACTTTTAGATATTGAATAGACACCTCATCTATTAGGAAAAGTTGTAGCCAAACATTTGTTTAATTAAGGCACATCTTAATGAGCAGTCACATAATGTTGTACTGAACAAATCATATTTTCTTCATTAGTATTTAATACTGATAGTTGATCAATAAAATGATACGGCTTACAAATGATTGTTCCTTTCTGTTGGGCCTACTTCTCTGTAGGCGTAGTTTAAACCCAACTGTAGTGTAATCAACAGTAATCAGTAATTAGAGGACAGCACACTTTGTTAGTACTTCGCTATTTAACATTGTAAAACTAGCTAACATGAAAATGGAATCACTGCTTCTACCAATAGTTAAATGTAAAAACGCATGATCACTTGTGTAATATTTAACGAATCATTTGTAGCCATAGGATAGTTTGTAGAAACTACCATACACCCTTCATGACAGAAGCTGGGCGATTTTCTCTACTCAAATCACCAAATATAGTGTCACCAAACTATGTATAAATAATGTATATTATTTCCTGTCTTTCGTTTATTCAAGACCGCTTTCATTCTGGTTTCACTATATTCATGAACAATTTGTACCAGCACCAAATAAGATTTCACAAGATTTAAATAACAATCTAAACTTCAGATAAATATTGTAATTCCTAAATTATCTGCAATGATATCTCCTTAGTCCAAGGTTGGTAGCGTTTAAAGGGTGTTTCGCAAGCTGCCTTGCATATTGCGGTTCAGTTCTGCAAGCCTAGTCTGGGAGACCCCAGCTTATGGCAGACAAATAGACAATTAGCACTACTTAACTCTAACTGTTTACTACGTGCTCGCAAGCCACTTTCTCTACGCTAATCTTTTCTTTGAGCTTTTCAACCCGTTTCACAATATAGGACTTGAAACCGGACGTTAGTGAAATGTTAGCGATTAATGTTAGAAACGTTAGTATCCGACTATTTTTACGTAACAGAGGTTTGCACCCGAGATATTTTTGTTTATACTATGTTTAAATCTTAAAATTTTTCAGGTGCTTACCAAAAAATCAAATAAATTAAAAAAAAAACTTATGTCGACAATTATTTTGGTGCAATCCAATACTGTATGTATTGTAACGTGCCGGTGATAACATTTTCCGAAAATCCTAATAATGCAATGTGATATTTGCATTATGAGAATATCAAGAGCCCTAATTTAAAATTTAAGTGATGCTGTCCATCCAATCTTACTAATATTGTAGATTTTAATTCGTTGTAAATTAACCCTGTGTGTTTCATTGTACAACATATTATGCAACATAATTGTTTGGCGACGAAATGTTAAAATGGGGACAGAAAGAGGATTCAGAGTTCTGAATTATTTTGCTTAAATTAAAGTATCATATACAAATTCCCCTTTAACCCATTCATGTTTAAATATTGTGCGTTTTCTTCTGACAATTAATTCTCTCTGCAATGTTGTATAATTTACGACGGAACAAATATTAAACTTATTAAAATATAACAGGTAAGTTGTAAAACAACGATCAAGAATTTACTCACTATATTTGTAGCTTCATATTTGTAAGTCTGGATTTTGCTAACCCAACCCAGAATTGAAATATGAGTTGCACTACAAGCTCAATTGGCAAACACAGCACACAGCACGAGTGCAATACAAGTAGCAGTTGTACGTGTAAGTTACATTATTTTACCTACCCCAATAGTTGTGTACATCTTTTACAAGCTCTAAGTAATTACTAAACTATAAATCGCCACCTACCTCAAAACGTCGTTTCTGAGTTTGAACTAAACCACTGTATTCCACAATATATTAAAAGCCAGAGATTGTATTTTTGTTAATTATTGATGTAACGTCATTCTTTATCGCCAAGTGATTAATCTTAATAAGTAAAAATATTGCCTACCAGATGTTTGTGAGTCACGGGGACCACTTAAATCAGCCACTTCAGTTCACAACGCCTGGGGCTGATACATTATTGCCTCTAATTACATAATGGACTAGTATGATCGGGCGATTCACATTCCAGTATAAATACCTCGTCCACCCTCTCTAGAGGGGGGGGGGTCGAAGAATGTAGAATGTTGATATGAATCAGGGTTTACAAAATACAACATCAAATTGTGTACGAGAAGATCTACATTCAACAATTACTTTTCACCTTTTATCGCAAAAGTTCTGTTCAATCATCGTCATGTTGAATATTGGGATTATCATCAGGTGAATAAGAAAACTGTATCTTTTTATCCAGTTGACATTATTTTTAGTTGTAAATATGGAATTTATAAATCATTATTAAAAAAAATTCCAATAGATTGGACATTGCACTCAAAAGTTAGCCTCCACTCACAATCCATGTATTTTAACTTTTCAACTGACACAAACAAATATATATGACTAAAGAAGATTCTAAAAAATGTATAGCAGTACCAAAATCTCAATACAATGACAGAATAAAAGTAGACTTGTCTACTCTTTTGAAGAAGTGGGCATACTTCTCTATGATACAGTGTAGGGTTATTTTGTGCGTATTTTTTAGATATTGTGACATAAATGAAAGCTTATTGAGTACAAAGGCCAGGTATCAGTATATGTGTAGCTAGAGTATGGTCGACTGGTGTTTAACGTATTATTCACTTCGATGGGTTAAACCAGCGACCATATAAGACAAATGAGACCAACCATTAGTCATAAGAGTGTACCACGGTCTTGTGAGATCGCTGGGTTATGCCTACGGATTGACATTGATTTATAATTGATCGGCTTGATGATGATTTGCCTAAATCAAAATTATTTTTCTACAGAAAGAGGAGTACATAATTGTATATGCTGAGTTCTTCTGTAAAGCTACGTATGTACATTTTTCTACACAGAAACCCAAAGTTATAAACCCCTAACTTAACAGATTCTTTGATCCATTATACACATTTTAGCAGTACTTTCAGAAGATCATAATGATCATTTTTCAAGTAGATATTGGTCGGTCCATGAGCCTGTGCGGTTGGCGTCGTCGAGCGCAGCGAATTAATTATCTTTCAGAGGCTTCCATTGTTGAGCGCGTGTAATTCGATTTCCACTCAATCTTGTCCCGCGGCTCGCTCTGTTGTGGTCTGGACTCGGTGGGAACTGTCTTCCTAGGAATGTTTTATAATTTATGGGTGAAATACCGAATGTATAAAACAGAAGAGGTGTTTGACTCTGGTGGTCGAAGAAGCAGATCATTTGAGGATTACATTGCAAGGCTTAGATAAAAGGATTTTTAACAATGCGGTTAACAAATTGTACCCCCCCCCCCTATGCCTATAGCAATAATTATCATTGTTTAATCAAAATTGTATTTTTTTCAGATGAGGAATTAACCAAATCAGTTCTCAAGTGACGTAAGTATCTATCGAAATGCATCTACGGTAATTTAGAGAACTTTAAATAAATAGGGAACAATAAAGAAACGCTCATGTAGTGTGCGCTACTGCACAAAGAAGTATTAGGCCCTATAAATATTATTAGTGATATTTTATTACTTCTCTGTGGCTACAGTCTGAAATTATAGGTCAAAGAGAGTATACCTCTCTAATCTATCACTGGTGCTAGTTTCAAAAAAGTTATCACTTCAGTTTGAATCGGTTAAAAAGTTGGAATAGTCAACAGTATGTAAATTTACACCAACTGTGTCTTTATTAACAACGTTTATTTTACTGTTGGCTAAATCCTTAAGACGGTAAAAGGAATCGGTGGTTCATTACATAGTCAAAGTCCATGACACATATTAAACATCCTTTCTTGATATTGATCCTCTATTATGACTTGCCAAATCAATTTCACCTGTGCGGTCCGATTTTTATTCTGATTGATTGACACAGCGATCAGCATGTAGCAGACGTACGGCCGTTATATGCCGTGAATGGACGATGGACGTGTTGAGGTGTCAGGGGCTCCAAAAGGGGACTGGTTTCCGCGCCAAATCGTTTCAAACTAAAACAAAACGAAATTTTATAAACTTGTTTAAATCAGTTGCTCGTTTAAAATGTTAAATGATTTTACCATAGAAAACTAACTAGTTATTGCAGATATTTCCTACATTGCCAGGTTAAATTAATGAAATTCGAGTCATGCAATAATAAGAACTTGAACAAATAACTTCTACACACTATCAACCTTATTGTCGTTGTTATTTTTTCCTGCTAATATATGTTGTGTCTATGAGACAAAATTACAAAATCCGAAAAACAACAAATAATATTCACAATAATATACAAAACAATATTCACACACAACAACATTCACAATATTCACTACGTTATTGTTGTGTCATACCAATAATTGACGAAGTCAATTCCAAAAATGCTGTTAATGTCTGTTATTTGACATGAACAGTCCAAGTCCATAAAAAGATTGCGTTTACAGAATTTAACTTGATGAAATAGTGACATATCGCCTTGAGAGATAACGCTCCATTACAAATTACCGGTATATAAGATTTCTTTAGCCATATAAACAAAAATGTGATTTTTTCGTTATATAAACAAAAAATGTGATTCGATGTAGATCGATGTATTAACTACTAATTTTAACTAAACAAATCTAAACAATTAAAAATAAACTCTGTATGAAAATATATTTTTAAACCTTTTGAATAGGGTCCAATATGCGTGTTCCGGCCATTGCTATTGCAGCTTTACGTGTCAAGTACTCCTCCCGAAAGTACTTATATTCAGGATAAATTTATTGGGGTAGTCACGAAATAAAATTGACACGTTGGTCAAATTATAAAGATATCATGGAAGTGACATCTTTGGGATTTTACTAAATACTACATATTGCCTACAGCACGTAGCCTCCTACTTATAGTCACAATTATTTTTTAGCATAGTACCTGAAGTGGGCTATTGAGCCCTTTCAACACATTCACATATCACTTACAATATTTCAATGAGTGATAAACGTATTTTGGTACTCCTGTACAACTTACCTTATATTATGTAACTTTTTACATTTATATTTATTCGGCATTTTTGCTGTATTTTATAACTTATATTATGAAGGTGCTGCACAGCAGTGTAGACAAGTTCCCAGGGTTCCGCTGTATGGTGCCACTGGGCGACATTCTCTAAGTAACGGAACCCAACTGTCCTGGTTTGGCTATTATCGTCGTCGACCTGCTTTTGTACGGTTCTCCAGATCCTGATAGGAATCATAACTCACAATTCGGTCAGAAATTGCCCATAGTATAAAAAATGCATCCGTCAATTTTGCCACTTTTGTTACAGAAAATCTGTAAAACAATTCTTGTGTGAATGTATTAACCGAATGTGAACATGTTACCGAACCAGTTTAGCCATATTGTCAACTTAAACTACAGATTAGCTTTGCGATTGTATACTTCCTTTAATCCATATATTTTATCATTCTATTCATGGTAATTTATCCATTTATAATTTTATTTTGTAAAAAAATATGCGTAAGAATTGTAATACAATAGTTGTATTCAAGTATTTTTTTTTAGAGGGAGAAAACTATTGAATAAAAAAGTCTTAAAACCGGATTATGGTGAGTCAGCATATTTTGCTAAACCCATCAATCGTTGTCGAATCTTTATGTGTCCTTGAGCCCACTATAATAATAATCTTTACCACTTTATTCGTCAGCTCCCAACTAATTTGTACCTTAAATTTACGAGGTGGGCCTATAGTAGGTTTTAAATTAGCAAGCTTTCTAAGCACTAATTGTTTAAACTTTATCAATCAAACAAACTTTATCAATGATTGGTGGTACCATCGTAAGATATACCTTACCCAAACTTAAAGTACTTTACATCAGTTGAATTAAACATAATCTTTATGAATTATATGACGTCAATGCAGATTGGTACGTTTTAGGCGAAGATATAATAACGCCTGCGTCTGGACTATAAAACATAATATCGTTTCAAATGGGTCAAATATCTCGAAAGCTTAACACTCGTATCCTTGGAGATAAAAATAAAAGGCGATACTGTATTACTTTTGCTCATTTCCACATCAAACACAATTTTATTCAGTATCGCACTACTGTAGTTGATTATAAATCTCAATGAGCTGCACCCTCATGTAGAAACCTCTTTACCTCAAAGCCACACCTTCACCCCGTTTTTAGAAACACTTATAAGCCAGACCTGACATCGCTACTGTATTACAAACTGCAGCCCAATACCATACCAAGTCAACACTGTGACTACCACTAAGGTGCGTGTTTGTCCTGTAACGGGTCTCCCGTCGCCGCTGGAACGATGGAATTTCCCACCTCAAAAGTCAAGGACGTTCGCTGCGATGTCGACTGCAAAACAGCGGTGGGGGGTATTGGAGGGAAAATGGTTCAAGATTCAAGATTCAAGATTTATTGAGCCGTTCAGTTTATAACAATTGGCCAAGTCACTAACACTAAACTAAAATACAAAACAGAGATGCATTCCTCTTGATTCACATAACAATGTCCAAAGAGCACATACAAATGTCCAAAGAGCACACCATGCATAATAGATAAATAAATAAAAAAAACTGCAAAACAAAACTGTAAAACATGCAGCGGAGAAAAAAATATAAAAATTAACAAAGCAGAGAAAAAGCAAAAAGGAAAACTTAAAAAAAAAAAAAAAAAAAACCACACTCATACCTGTAGGCAAGGTTTAGGTAGTATAAATATATGTATGTATTTTTGTTTTCTTTATTTCTTTCTAATTCATTGTGTGGGTATCTGAATTCCAGAACTCCTGCAAGGAGTAAAATGGGTTTGCCACCAACCAATCCTTAACACACCTAGCAAAAGCTTTTGCAGGTTTCCTTCTTACTTGCAGAGGTATGGTGTTAAAAAAGGCTATACCTGCAACAGGAAAAGAATTCAAAGTTTTGGTTAGCCTAACCCTATGTCTATGTACATTAGAAGAGCTCCTGGTTGCATGGCTATGTACACTACTGTTCAGACACATTGTGTCTTCCTGAGCCTTAATTTCTAATAAACATTGATAAATATATACATTATGTACAGACATTATACAGTTTTCTATTAACAAGGGTTTGCAATGCGCAAGCTGCTGGGCTCCGCAGAGGACTCTGACAGCTGTTTTTTGCAAAAGCAGAACTTTTTCTACAGCAGGCGCATGTCCCCAGAGTCTAGTGCCATACTGTAGGTGGGATTGGAAAAAGGCCATATATGCGAGACGTACAAACTCCTGGGGCATGTCAGCTTTTAGACGTCGGAGTAGGTATATTACCCTACTAAGTTTGTTACAAATTTGTTCGATATGGTTTGTCCAATTTAGCTGCGGGTCAAGTACAAAGCCCAGCAGCTTGGCAGGCTGATCAAAAGCATTAGGCTTTTTCTTAGACAGACTAAATGTAATGGTTTGAGTTTTTGCTTCATTTAGAGTCAGTTTGTTCTCTCTGAACCAAACAGAAGCAGTTTCCAACAACTGCTGGACTGCAGCCCTGGAAACGCCGAAATCACTGTCACCAGAAAAGAGAGTAGTATCGTCAGCATACAACAGTATATTACCAGCAACTCTGAGATATAGATCGTTCATTGAAACAATGAAAAGAAAAGGACCCAGTATAGAGCCCTGTGGTACCCCATACTTAACATTAAGCTGGCCTGAGTTGCTTCCATTCCAAGAGACAGTTTGCGTTCTATCAGATAAGTAAGATCTGAGGATTGAAAGAGCATTACCCCTCACTCCATATTTTTCAAATTTAGACAGTAAAAGATTGTGGGACACACAATCGAACGCACGAGACAGATCACACATCATTACAGATAGAGAATTCTTAGCTTCAAAGGCGTTCAGAATAGTTTGTACAAGGAAGTCAACTTCCTGGACAGTGGACTTTCCCTTTCTAAAACCAAATTGAGCAGGGGTGAGAAGGTTATGCTCCTCAAAGTAGGTATACAGCTGCTCAAGCATAATAGCCTCAAAAATCTTGGCAAAGATAGGAATTATAGATATTGGTCTATAGCTTTTGAGATCATCTTTTGGGCCCTTTTTGTAGATGGGGACTGTTCGGCTAATTTTAAGAGTTTCAGGAAAAACACCTTTTGCAAAAGATGTGTTAACAAAATGAGCTATCATAGGAGCAATGACATATACAATTTTCTTTAAGAGCTCAACATTCATATCATAATAATCTACACTCTTTGAGCTTTTAAAACGTTTCACAATCTTAATTACAGTCTCAGGACTAACAGGATGCCAGGTGAAGGAAGCTTGGGAAATAGGTATAGAAACAAGGCTAGCAGGATTGGTTTCATTTGGTCTGGAAGGTATACAGTTTTTAACCAGATCATCAACAGACTCTACAAAAAAATGATTAAATTCATCTGCACTAGAAAAATCTCTGGGTGGGTCAGGAGT